ATATATTTACCCCTCTCACCTTAGCAACCCTATTCCTGGGATTTTGTCCAGCAGAAATAAAAAGCACTTGTTTTTAGGCATTATTTGGCCATGGATGGTTACCATAGCATTGATTGTGAGGGCAAAAAATGGAAGTAGATAGACTATCAATGAACATGAAAATGACTGAATGCATTGGGGAAACCGTACAGAGGAATATTATGTAGCTATTAAACCGAAGTGAATGAGAGCTATTCCAGTGGACATGAAGAGATTCCCTTGAGGTATTTATTGAGAAAGAAAAAGAAGAGGAGGAAAGTATCTTTTATGACCCATTTTTTAATAAGTTTACCTCTGTGCATGTGTATATGTACATATGAACATATTTATCTAGTAATAAGAATTTAAAGAAAAATATGTATATGTGTAAAATATGTAAACACACCAAATTGTTCATGTGGATGAGGGTGGGGTGATGTGGCTGGTGGGGGAGGTAGAAAATATAGATGAAGTCTCTCGCTATTTTTATGGGCATTTATGGGCTGGGCTGGGCACCTCATTTTAACAATAATATTGTTTTGGTGGGAAAAATGTGTTCCAAAAAGCTGAACCACAGGGCTCTGTATTAAGGAAGACAGGTGGTCTAAATATCAAACACTACCTGGTAATTCACATCATATTTATATTTTAGTGAAGTGGGCAGTTTGTGTTTCCCTCAAGGGCAGTCAAACGTTTCAGTTATGTTTTTCCAAAGATGGTTCATTTCCTCAGCTAAGTCCAGTAAGCAGCAGGGCGGGCAGGCAGGGAGCACACACCCATGTGGGCACACACACATACACACGTGCACACACGAAGACTGAACACGCACACACACGTGCGAGCGTCCGTGCCCACGCACAGCCTGCAGGTGGAAGCAGCGCTGGATTGCAGGGAATCCGGAGGAATCCGTATCATCACAGCAGGATAAACTTTTGTGTTAGAAGAGAGCCAGAGATGGTTTCCTGCACCCACCACATCTCTAAGGAAACGAGAGTGAGGACCAGAACAGTGATCTGACTTGGCCAAGGTTGCATAGTTACTTAGAAGCCTGGTGGGGAACCTGGACCCCAAGGTCTCATGGATTTCACGTTCCAATTTGTAAAGTAGATGCGGCCACATGCAGACACATGCCCTTCGTATCTCCAGGCGGAAATCATTCGGAATGAAGAAAGAGCCTATTGAATTTAAGATGATTGCAAGGATCTAGTGCCTGGTGGGCAGGCAGCTGATAGTCTGTTTAAACATACACGGGATACAAGGATCTGCTGCCTCTCTGCCCATATGTACTTTCTGGTCCTTGATATAAGTGGGTAGACATGTCCTCTGCTGGTTTGACATTGTGGCATGATTTACTCTCAGCCAGTAAATGGAGAACGGAGGGCATGGTAGCGGGCTTGTGAGCTTGGAATCTAAAGTAACACTAAAATCCCTATTGATTTGTAGTTGATAAACACTAATTGTGAACTGTACATTTGAGGGATTTTGGTAAAAAGTGCACATAAAGGAAAACCCTCATAACAGCATTGAGCAGATGCATGCACACTGTTTCACAAAGGAAAATGAGCTCCAGTGACATGACAACGTCCCTGAGCTGAAGAAGCACTTGGATTGTTCTTTCCCAACGGCTTAGTGAACTGGGATATCCAGAGGGCTGATGGTGATTTCCAGTTTACATTTTGGCCAAATGCTGATTCTTCTTTACCAAGGATTTTAGATCGTTGTTTATCGAAGTGTCATTTTGCAGCGTGAGACTTTTTTCACTGTAATCCCTCCCCTCTTTGTGGAATAAAGGCTCAGGAACATTATTGGTTGCCAGTCATGTGACAGGCGCCAGGTTGGGACCCGAAGATTGGGAGACAAGGTAGGAGTTCACAGTCGGTGGGCAAGGCAGAGATGCACCTCTCAAGTTATTAGGACAGAGAGTGTTTTGGGGGGAACATTGTGTAGAGGGCTTCCCAGAGTGTGCCAGGAGTGTGGGGTGGTGGGATCTGTGAAGGCTTCTCGGAGGAGGTGACTGCTAGTCAGGACCTTGCAGGATGCATAGTAGTTCTCAGGCAGCTATGAGGGGAGCTGGGAGGAGAAGACACTAGTCAAGAGAAGCACAGAGCCCTGCAGCATCTGCCAACCTAATGGGGGACAGGTGTACCGGGGAGGAAGCTAGGTGGGGGGACGGGCAGGGGTGCATAGAAACCAGGCTTGAAAATGGGCAGAGGAGGATCCTGAGAGACCTTGTGTACCACTTCAGGGAGTTTACTTGTCCCACAAAGGATGGGTACCCACCTTACGAAGGGAGGGTTGCAGCCATGCATATGTCATATGAGGCTGTCAATGGCAACAGGTTAGGTGCCCTGGGGCAGGGAGCTTGGATCAACAATACTGATTCCTTCACTGACTGGAAGGATAGGCTACTCTCTTTGTGTTCTTTTTTTTTTTTTTTTTTTAAGATTTTATTTATTTATTTGAGAGAGAGAGAGAGCACGAACAGGGGGAGGGGCAGAGGGACATTCAGACTCCTCACTGAGTAGGGAGCCCGAAGTGGGGCTCGATCCCAGGACCCCGAGATCACGACCCCAGCCGAAGGCAGATGCTCAACGGACTGAGCCTCCCAGGTGCCCCTCTTTGTGTGTTCTTAACTGACCTTAAGAAAAAACGTACACAGTCAATAAAAAAGTTTTGGGGGCCTTGGGGAAAGGAGAGTCCAAAGTGGTCTACCAGGGCTCGTGTAATATGAGCAGGAATATTAAAAGGCTTTGAAATTTCAGGTTTTTTTGGAAAAAAAAATACTTATGAGACTAGGATTAGTTTATTGGAATTGGTCCCTCTCCTAGATTTATGATACTCTTTATCCTTCTAGGTGATACTCTCTGGAATCATAGGATTAACAACTTGGAAACGGCCTATGATACTCCTGGTATGTACTGATCTCATAAATTGTTACCCTTTGTAAAATGTGCTATGTGAGAAGTCTGTTGGAATCAACCACTGAATACCGAAGCTTTCTTCTTCATTAAAAAAAGAAGCTCACAATGGATACTATTAGAAATCAGTAAAGCAAGATGATAATTTTGTTAGTTTTCTGATTCATTTTAAACTTCTTATGTACCCAACGTGTTTCTAGTTCCAGGATTGGATCTACTGTAAAGATGTATTTTTAAAAATCGGTTTGCTATGGACATTTTTAAATATACTAAAGCAGAGGGAATAATACAATGAATTCCCTACACCCATCACCCGGCTTCAGCAACTACCAACTCAGCCAAACTTGTTCAGCTAGACCCTCACCCATTCCTCTGCTCCCCACATTCTTTTTCCCTGAATATTCCTTTGAAGTAAATCTTAGGTATTAAATCATGAATACATAATTTTTTATTATTATCATGCTTTGGTTGGACAACCTCAGAGTTTCATGACTTAGGCTCTCTATATTCTCTCTTTATCACACATCTATCATATTTTCATGGTAATAAAGACATATTGGTAACTTTATCCTTTTTTTTTTTAGTTTTTGAGGTAAACTACACATAATTATAAAGTTAATCCGTTTTGAAGTTCACAATTCAATGACATTTAGTAACACTCCCAATACTTGTTTTTTTGTTTTGATTTGCTATGTCCTTTTATTTGCTACTATAAAAAATAGACAATTGCCAGTGGAATTGCCAGCTTTCAAGGATGAAGTAGAAGGTCTGACAAATGTGATTTGAAGTACATATAATGAAAAAAATTTTTTTCTGTATAACGTCTCTTCTGATTTTTCTCCCATCCATTTTGAAATAGGGTTAAATAATTTTCTAAAACCATTTTGTGTATATACTTAAGAGTTCATCTTAAACAGACCACTGTTTGCTGGGTGGTGGGTAATAAATACAAAACTAGCTAAATTCTTAAATGCCCACAAGACAATTTAGGCAACATTTTAGAAGTCCATCATTTATGGCATTTGGTGAAACTCTGTTAATATTTCTGGCGGGAGTAAATTATTGGTGCAGCATTTTAATCTACAAGATAGCGGGGTAGGTGAAAATGAGGCTTCAGATGAGCTTTAAGGAATGTGTTATGAGTGGCTGAGGTCTGTTTTGCAACAATTCTCTAGAAAAATGTTGGATGGTGTCCAACGTTTATACTAATCTTTGGCTATAGGAGTCATTTTTGTCCTGATTTTTCCATTGGGTCAATATTGAAATGCTCAGTAATACAAACCTCAGGTATTTAAATTAAAATCAGAAAATCCCTAAAGCTATCTGTACTTTTAAGATTCCAAATGGTGAGAAGAATATGAGCGTGTGTTCTGGGTAGAGGTTTAGAAGGTGGACCTTTTAAGACATTTATTTCTCTAACATTGTTTTCTTTTGGAAAGGTGCCTCATAGATTTACTATGTGAGCTCAAACAACTATAAATGAAAATGACCTTAATAGAGATGTATCTTTATTATTATGCCTTTAGATTTATTTCTCATCTTTGTTGATAAGTACAGGTACAACTTTGTCAAAGTTATAACCAGTTTGTATGTACCATGTTGTGCTCTGCTTTTTCTGCTTAATATTACATTAATTACATCCATATCAGTAAATATTACGTTTCCATATACAAGGAGTCCACATCCCTGCCTGAATGGCATTCTGTCATAGTTCTGTATTACCATCAGTTATAAGCCTGTTAGACACATGGGCTTCTATATTTCAACTGTTAAGAATTACGTATTTAGAAGTATTTAGAATCAAGAAGTATTTAGAATCAAGTAGAGATTGTTTTGAAATGTTAATTAACATCGACTTATAAAGAAGATAAATTAGTTGATAGGAATTATACAAGGGCCAACTTCCTGGGTATATCAATAGATCATTCGGGCCTTGGTCAACATCATAAGTGAAAAATCCTCAGTTCACGTGAATCTTAATAATATTCTGTTATAACTTGTGCCATATGCCTTTGTTACGTTAAAAAATAAAAATAAAATCATGTGATGTTATGAAAGAAACTGGATATGCCAGTCAGACACTCCTAGTCTGAGTACCAGCTCATCCCCTGAAGAGCCGTATCATGTACAAGCCACTTAACTTTCCTGAGTGTAGTTTTCTTTTCTGAATGGAGGGGATAATCTAGTGACACCAAGGGGTAGGTCTGACTCCCCCTAACCCTCCCCATAATGGCTGCTTCACTTTTTCTTTGGCTTCCCCCAGACCCCTTCCTGAGTTCAGGGAATGTGCCTTTGGATGATTCTGGGTGGGAGGTCACATTCCATCAGAGAGCCAGGAGGCCCTGTGGGTCTCTGTTCCCGCAGACGGGGGCTTGGCTGGTGAGTTCCAGCCTTTCTCCCCTTCATGTCCTATGCTCTACCCAGAGGGGCACCTTCTGACTGGGACACAGCCAGGCTGTCTTAACCGACTTGGGACCTTCTTCCCCTAGCTGTTTCCTTGGCTGGCTCCTTTTCTTCTGGGCCTCAGCTCAGCAGTCGCTTCCTGAAGGAGACCTTCCCTGACCATCCCGTGATAGTGGCCCAGCATCCCTGCCTCTCAACATGTCCCAGCGCTGACTTTTGGCTTCACAGTCTGTAATTAGCTTGTGTGCTGTTTGTTTACTACTTGCTTGTCTGTCTCCCCACCGTAGATAGTTGTATGAAGAAAGGGGTCTTGTCCGTCCTCTTCACCCTGGGTCCCCAGGAACAGTGTGCTCAATACACATCTATTGTTGACTGTGAAGTTGATTTGGCAGCCAACGAGAAATTTAGGTCCTAGGTTCTCGATGTTTCTTTTTTACTTCTGTCTTAAATTTCTCTCACTTGTTTTTGTCCTCTAGAGTGTTGTTTTCTTCCTCTTTTTACTTTGGGGTGGTTAGGGAGTGTATGGGTGGTGGAGGTTGGGAGGAGGCAGGTTGGTCTTTCCAGGGCCCTTTGAGAGGCAAGCTGTCCTCATTTTGAGTTGTTGCGTGCACAGTCATCTAGAACACTTGAATACTTCCTTTTGAAAACTGTTTGGGTAGTTTTGGTAGAATGGTAGAATGCCATTTGGTAGAATGCCATTCAGGCAGGGATGTGGACTCCTTGTATATGGAAACGTAATATTTACTGATATGGATGTAATTAATGTAATATTAAGCAGAAAAAAAGCATTTGTGCTCCTTCTTTTGTGATTGTTTCAGTGATTACATTCGGTTTTATACTGGTGTGAACAAAGAAGGCTCATCCTGACCCAATTCCTTCAAATTCAAGTTTTCATGGAAACTCGGAGTTGGAAGTGTTCATTTACCGGGTCTTCTTCCTTATACCGATTAAATGCTCATGTGTCCAGAACAAAAATAATAATCTTGGAACATCATTTATAAACATTTATAGCTATTTTTGACTATGACTAGGATCAAGCTAGGGCATGTGCACACACACATGATTTCAGGTTGTGTGTTTTCTATCAGAAACAAACATTTTTCATTTTTAAAGAGTGTTCTTATTTCTTCAAGTTATCTCCTTTTTCATTCTAATAAAATGGTTTATAAGTTTTTAGCAATTACAGACTCTGTGCCGGGAGTGACCTCAAAGATTATCTTGTCTTGTCTCGGCACTTCAATTAAAAAGTGGAATAGTCTTAGTAAGATGTTTTTCTTTGGTGGTCCATTTGGTAAGAATTCCCACCGTGAAAGCCTAGCCAGACTTGCGGCCTATAGTTTTGGTTATGAAGAGGTCATTTGGACTACTTTTCTTGTCAGTTTGGAAGAGATGGGGTGAATATAACCTTAAAGCTGATAAAGAGATCACTTTATTCTTTAACATCAAGAATGAAGGTATTTCTTGGGGCGCCTGGGTGGCTCAGTTGGTTAAGCGACTGCCTTCGGCTCAGGTCATGATCCCAGGGTCCTGGGATCGAGCCCCGCATCGGGCTCCCTGCTCGGCCGGAAGCCTGCTTCTCCCTCTCCCACTCCCCCTGCTTGTGTTCCCTCTCTTGCTGTCTCTCTCTCTCTCTCTGTCAATTAAATAAATAAAATCTTAAAAAAAAAAAAAAGAATGAAGGTATTTCCTCAGTGATGTTCTTGGGTCACATATGTGGTTTGTTCTCAACTGTGGGCCATGGGGATTTGCACCCTAGACTGAGAATAGAAGAGGTAAATGAACAGGATACTTAAAAAAAATGATCCATCAGTTTCTCTTCTAACTTCAAGATTATGGAATTTAGGGTAAAACTTCATTACCCAAAAAGAGACTAAAAAATGGTTTCGGTAAGATATACAGACATTCTGTCCTCTCGCCTAACTGTCCAAACAAGCTAGGCCAGCAAAGATGGTTCTGCTCCACAAAGCCATTTGGGGATCCGGGGTCTTTCCATCTTATTGTGCCTTGAAGGGAGAGTCATGGATCACCCAGACACTGTCAAGAGATTGAGGAATTAGCCCACCAGATAGTCAGAAATAGTTGTAGGTGGCTTAGCTGCAAGAGAGATGGTGGCCCTTTCATTTCTGAGGGGTCAGAAGACCTGCAGGCAGTTTAGGGATCTGTACATTTATAAAATGAGGTCTGCAGCTCTGGCTTTGTGCATTCTGGTTCTTTCAAGTATATTTCCTGGTTGTCAAAAATTTGGAATGAGCCTTGGTTTGAGAGTTCAAGAAACCTGCATTTTAATGCTGACACATTACCACTAGTTATCGGTGACCTTGGGGAAATCTCTTGGGTTCTGCATCTGTAAAATGATGAACTTACATCAGAGCAATCTTTTAAAAGTCCTTTAGCTCTCATTGTGTAGGTTTCCAGAATCCTTGTTAGTTACCCGGAGGGTGTTTTAACTTTAGATGGTTGTTTTCAACAGGCTATTATAAGCTCCCTGTGTATAAATACTATGATTATTTCACTCTTGGTTTTTTTAAGGTATAAAAATAGATGGCTGTTCTCCCTCTTCAGAATAATTAATAATACTCTATTGCACGCA